TACGAAATATAGACTGTTCTTTTTCTTCTTCTTCTTCTTCTTCCTCTTCCGGTTGTTGTTTTTTTTTTTTTGTGGGAAGGGAGGAAGGGGGTTTTGATTTTTCTGCTGTAATATTTTTTACAAAAAAAAAAAAATTAGGGAGGGAAAAAGTTGGGGGAAAATCGAGTCCGAATTTTAAAATGTAATTTTTTACTTAAACGCGATTTTAACCACCGTAAAAAAAAAATAATAATAATAATATTAACGGTTTTTTTTTTTAAATAAAATTTCTTGAAACTTTAAAAAATAATAATAATAATAATAATAATAATAATAACGCGGCAGTTTTAGGGTTTCTAAACTTGGCAAAACCAGATTTTTCAAAATGAGATTTTGGTTCATTAAATTTAATAGTTGAAAATAATAGCGTTTAACGACGTGTTTTTTTTTTTCTGTAATGCGAAGTGAAAAAACAAACAAACAAACAAACAAGGAAAAAAAAAAAACCAAAAGTAACGACGTCGTAAAATTCAACGGCTTTACATTTACACCTAAAAAAATTTTCGAAAAGGTCATTCTAATAATGATAATAATTTTTTTTTTCTCCTCCCTCCCACGTCATCAAATTAAAAAAGTCGAATGTGGGTTTTTTCTATTTCCACGAAAAAAAATGAAAAATGCAATTCTTACGCGAAACAAACAAACAAACAAACGGATTTATTTATTTTACTCTCGTTGTAGTTTGTCGGTCGAATAATTTTTTATTTATTTTTTTCCTTTGATTATTATTATTATTATTATTATTATTGTTGTTAATTTAAACGTCATCACGTGTGAGATGTTTTAAATTTTCGCGGGAAAATTTTTTTTTTTTTTTTAAATTCAACGTAGTTAATATCGCGAAAATTGAGTTTTTCGCATTTAAAAAAATTTATTTTTTTTTTTTTTTTATTTCCATTTAAACAGTTTTACGCTTTACGCTTTAGTCAACAATTGAAAATTGCTTTTTTTTTTGCATAAAGTATTAAAAAAAAAAAGTAAAAGTAAAAAAGGGGAAAAAGGTAGAAAAAAAAGGGTAAAAAGGGTAAAAAAGGGTAAAAATGTTTTTTTTACGCGTCGAAAACGAAAAAAAATAAAAAATAAACAGAAACAGAAACACTTCAAAGTGTGACAAAGTTTACATTTTGAAAGGATAAATATTTAATAATTTTTTTTTTTTTTTTTGACAAGACGTTTAAATAAAAAAAAATAAAAAATAAAATGGCGGTTAAAATGTTTCGTCATCTTTATAATTTTACTAAGGGTCTAAAATATTTTTTAGAAAAAAAAAAATTGGAAAAAGAAAGTAAATAATAATAATAATAATAATAATAATAATAATAAGTAAAAAAAATTTTTTCCTTTGAAAAAAAAAATTATCATTTACTCTCAAACAAAAATCTTTTCCTTTTACGAAACGAATTTTTACTCCATCGGAATTATTTTTTAACATTTATCATCATCATCATCATCATCATCATCATCATCATCATCATCATCATCATCATTATTATTGTTATTATTGAACAAAAACCTCACTCAATTATTTATAATTGAAATTTATAGAAAAAATTTTAAATTCGGGCATTAATTAAAATAAATTTAAATTAAAAACAAAAAAAAAGACATAAATTTAAATACAAAACTAATGATAATAATGATGATGATGATGATGATGATGATGTCATAGGTTATTGGGAAAAAATAAAAAATAAATAAATAAGAAAAAATTGTTGCTTTAGATGAGACAAAAAAGTAAAACAATAGGAATTTTTTTTTTCTTTTTTTGGAGAGTACGGGGATAGGGGTTGGAGGGTGGATGAGGTAGAAATGATGGAGGGGAAGAGGAGGGAGAAAGGGAAAAGGAAAAATGTCAATTAGGATTGTGAGATTTATTTTGACCTGTTGTTATTTAGTATTTGTCTTTCATTTTTCTATAAATAATACGAAGAGAAAGAGAGAGTGAGAGAGAGATAGAGAGAGCACAATCAAGGATACGAATCGGAGCGTGAAAATAGAAAAATCACTCATCTGATAAGTATAATTGACCTCGAGGTTTTTGGCAAAAAAAAAAAGGTAAAAAATCTATGACTTCAACGATGAAATTCGAAAAATTTAAAATGATGTCACAAAATTTTTTTTTTTTTTTTTTAAATTATTAACCATATGAATAATATGAGACAATGAAAGAACACGCGTTTCCAACTCGAAAACGATTTTAAAAATGTGATAAAAACGTGAAAATATTTTTTTTCTTCTTTTTTTTTTGTATAAATTTGAAAAAATGAAAATAAGTTTTACAAAAAAAAAAAATATTTTTTCATTAAAGTTTAAAATGAATCGAATAATAAGACCGAAAAACAAATAATTACAAAGACCCCCTTCCCCCTCCCCAAATAAAAGAAACGTTTACTATTTAACGTGAAATCGAAAGAATGGAAAAGGAAAAAAATTGTTTGAAATCTCATTAAGGCCGCGTGTGTAATCCTTAACTAAACGACAGCATTAAATGATAAAACCGCAGGAAACCGAGTTCAATTATTAGTGGAAAAACACATTGGAAAAAAAAATAAAACGAAGAAGAAAAAAAAATGTCAAATACAAAGAAAATCAAATAATGATAACAACTTGTACGATATTTAAAAAAAAAAATGGACTTTACTGACGTTAAAAAACACAAAAAAACGCGCGAATACAATTAAAAATTTATTTATGTACGATCAACCAGGTTAGGTTATGTTTAAGCAGATTAGGTTACATATAACAAGGTTAGGTTATGTTTAAGCAGATTAGGTTATGTAAGGCTAAATTACATTTTTTGTTTGATTAGGCTCTTTTGTGGCACTGCACAAATGTTTTTAGGGACAAATATAAAATTTTAACGGATAAATTTAAATAAATATAGAACCCGAAAGATTTAAAAAAAAAAAAAAAATGAAAAATTTTTCCGTTTCGACTTTGGTTAAAAGTAAACAAACACACACACGCGCGCACGCATGCAGGCGAACATAATCGGAAACGATACTTAAAATCAATTAAAATAAGTAATTAAAACTAAGTTTGAAAGTAAATCTCTGTGTTTTTAGAAATATTTTTAATCCGAACAATAAATATACCCCCCTTCCTGCCCCCCCCCCAAAAAAAAAAAAAAAAACTAAAATAAAACTGTAGTCGTAAAAGAGACAAACCGCAATATTTCGGTCGCGATGCTGTGAATGAATAAAATTTAGTAAAAATTTATTTCTACGAATCGTAACCGAAAAACTAAAAAATTTATAAATTCCCGATTATTTCGTACCCGCAAGTTCTGTTATAGAAAAACATCTCTTAGAAAATTTTCGAAATTTCTATTTTCTAGAAAACAATCAATAAAGTAGCAAAAAAAAGAATAGAGGAAATAATCATGATAGAATTCTGTACTGTTATAAAGCAACCTTTTTTCTCCCCCCCTCAAAAAAAAGTGAAAATTCTGTTAAAATGTGTATATTAACAAAAAAAAAACATGCGTCACATGATACATTCAAAGGATACAAGTACAAAGTCGTAGCATCACGTGACACGTAATATTCATTCATTTCCATATAAAATTTTCTTTTAATTAAAAAAAAAAACAGCGTTTTTTTTGGAAAATGTTAAATTTTCAATCGGTAAAATCGATGTTAAAAAAAATATTAATCGATTAATCGAACGTATATAAATATATATTTGACTTTTGTAAATAAATCAAAAAATTTAAATACTTTTTTTTTGTTTTAACTCATTGATTTAACGACGGGAAAATTCTTTGCCAAAAACAAAAAAAAAAAATTCTTAAAACTCAAATGAAGCTGTCGCAAAACTTATTACCTTTTTTTTTTTTTACTTTTTCTTCTTCTTTTCCTTTTTCTTTTTTCTTTCCTTTTTTTCCCTTTTTAAAAAAAAAAAAAAGAAAAAGAAAAAGGTTTTGAAATTTTTTTTTTTGTTTCATTTAGAGTGAAAAAAAAAAAAAAAGGAATTTTTAATTGGTTTTTTGAAAAATTCAGTTCAAACCTCACGTGACTTTTCTCACCATTTTTTAATTTATCTTTTGCCATCTTTGTTCGCCTCTTTTTTTCTGTCTTTTTCCCTCCCTTCCCCGCCCCCCCCCCAAAAAAAAAAGAAAAAGGAAAAAAAAATTTCTTTTTTTTTCTTTTTTTTTTTTAATTTTATAATTTAAATGGACGAGAATGTTTGTTTGTTTGTTTGTTTGTTTGTTGGCTTTGTAACAAGATTTTTTTTGTTTTCATGTGTTTGTTTTATGTTTTTTTTTATTTTTAATGTTATTATTATTTAAACACAATCGTGGGTAAATAGTATTTGAAAAGATAAAAAAAAAATTATTAAACTTATCCGATTTCTTACCGCCACCGTCTTTTCCAACTAAATTTTCTTCCGCATCCGTTTTTTTTTTTCCTTAAATTACTTTCCTTTGCAAGATTTAAAACAATCTTTCTTTCTTCCTTTCTTTCTTTCTTTTTTTTTTTTAGTAAGAAACTTGTTATAATTTCATTAAAATTTAATTTTAATAAATTATTAACGACGATACAACAAAGCTATGAAAGAAACTGGGAATAATATACATTTTAATGTATTAAAAGCTTAAATGTTTCCATCAATAAAATGAAAACTGAATTAAATGTAAAACCACACAGATTTACTTAATTATAATTTTATAAGCTTTCTTTATTATTATTATTATTATTATCATCATTAATATTTTCTTAATTTTGATTATAGCAGACGGATTTTTAACCTTCATGTTGAATGTTTTTATTTACACTCCGCAATCTGTGTTTTGATTTTTTTTGTATATTTTATTATTATTATTATTTTTTAAATTTTGTAAATTTTTTTTTATTTTAAAAACTTTAAACGTGAAGAATTATCATTATCATCATCGTTTTAAAAACGGTTGTTTTTAATTGAATTTTGTGTGTGTGCGTGCGTGCGTGTGTGTGGTGAAAATGTCGACGCCGAAAAAAAAACCAATTTGTAAAGTGTGTCCGAAAAGAAAACCATGTGTAAAAAAAGAAGAACCATTTGTGTTGGAAGAAGAATATATCGAACCAGAAATCGAAATCGAAGATGAAGATGAACCAGAGGAAGAAGAGTCGATTTATTTGGATGAGGAAAGTTGTAAGGAAATCGCGACCGCGGGTTACGTTTTGGATGATGTCGAAGAGAAAAAAAAAGAAAAGCCGCCATTTTTTTGCGGTCAAGCACCGAAATCGAGGTACGAAAACGTGTTACCCGCCGACGTGACGAACGATCATCAAGAAGAAGCTGCCGAAAAAGAAACGATCATTGATCACATGAGTGCTTTACGCGTGACGAGCGAACCGTTTTGTAAAAGGTTACCGGTAATCATCGGCACTATCGGTCCTTCGTGCACGGAAGTACATCAAATCGAAGATTTGCTCGATTGCGGCATGAACGTCGCACGTATTAATATGTCGTACGGTGATCGTTGCTGTCAATTGAATGCCATACATAATTTTAAATTAGCCGCTGATAATTTTATACAAAAAATAGGTATGTACGTTCCGATCGGTTTGATGATGGATTTAAAAGGACCCGAAATACGTACCGGAAGAATTTGTAAACTCTACGCTTGCGATCCGGACAATCCGAGAATATTCATTGAAAAAAATAGCATAATCAAAATTACGACAGAAATTACATACGTCGACAAAATCACGCCGACGTTGATTTACGTTGATTTCCCGCTGTTTCCTCAACACGTTCGACCGGGAATGAAAATTTATATCGACGACGGTTACATTTCATTAATAGTTCAAAAGGTCAACGAAATAGATTTGATAGCTTTGGTCGAATGTGAAGGGTATTTAGGAAATTACAGGCCCGTTCACGTTCCCATGGTACCGTTGGACCTTCCACCGTTGACCAATATAGACATGGAAGATATTGATCTCGCGCTCGAAGAAGAATTCGATTTTATAGCTCTGTCTAAAATAGAAAACGCCGAAGCCGTGTACACGTTGAAAAGTAAACTCATCGAAAGTTTACTTCTCCAGAGAAAGTTCAGAGAAAAACCCATAATGATATTTTCGAAAATATCAAATTTTCAAGCATTGAAAAACATTGACGAAATAATCGAAGCCACGGACGGTATAATAATTCAAAGAGGAGATTTAGGTTTGGACATACCGCCGGAAAAAGTTTACGTTGCACAAAGAGAAATAATCGGAAAATGCAACATGGTAAATAAACCGGTAATTATATGTACACAATTAATGAAATCAATGACAACTCACCTTTTAACGGATCGATCTCATATTTTTGATGTAGGAAGTTGCATAGAGGACGGAGCCGACGGAATTTGTCTGACGGGAGAAACGGCCATCGGTAAATTTCCAAGCCAAGTCGTCGAACAAACTCACAACATACTTCGCGAAGCCGAAGCAGCGGATTCACGTAAATATCATTTCAAAGAACTCACGGATAAGTTAAAACCCCCCATCGAACCCATCGTCGCGGTAGCCATGGCTTCATGCATAATTTCGCAAAAGATAAAAGCTACCGCGATCATAGTTTTAACGACGTCCGGAAAATCCGCTCAACTCATATCGTGGTTCAGGCCTCGTTGCGTCGTTTTGGCGGTGACGAATTTCGAAAGAACCGCGAGACAGTTGCACATGTGGAGATCCATTTGTCCCATCATTTACAACGGACCGTGTTTGAAAAACAATTGGTTTGTCAATCTCGATCTTAAATTTCAATACGGGATAACGTTCGGTAAAGAAGTGGGATTCATAGAAGCCGGTGATCCGTTGATTCTAGTCAGCGGATACGGAAGGCATACATCATTTACAAATTGCATAAGGATCGTTTACGCATCCACCGAACCTGGCATATACCTACAACATTCTAAAGAATTTTACAACAACATATACCTTCAGAGAAACTGTCCGAGAACGTGTAATGACGGTCCTTGTAATAAAAATAATAAAAATCCTAAAACTTAACAATAAAAAAAAAAAAAATTTCATTTTTAATGTTTTTTTTTTTTAATTATGTAAACAAACACAAACGATCATAACAAACACACGAACGCGTGCGTAGAATAAAATCATCGATTTATTATTATTATTATTATTTGAATAAGTTGTTCTTTTTTTTAAAAAGAAATTTAATTTAAAAGAAAATTTCAAAAGTGAATTAATATTTGATTCGATTCGATTGTTATTGTTGTTGTTGTTGTTCTTTTCTTTCATCCATTATTATATACAAAAGAAAACAATCAATTTTAAAAACGTCAAAGTTACTTGAGATTTATTAATAGAAATAGAAATCAGATAATCATTTTCTTAAACACTTTTCAACCGAGTTTTCCGAGTTTTTTTTTGGACTTTTGTTTTACATATAAACAATCGTATTAATGAAAAAGTTTTTTAAAAAGGTTTTTTAACTACTACTACTACTTTTTCCCATTGTTTGATTGTTGTTGTTGTTATCGAGAAAGAAACTGTTTTAAAAAAATTACATGTATTTAAAATCGATTAAAAAATATGTATACCTCAACGCGTATTAAAAATAAAATGAAAAATGGTTAAACAAAATGTTATTTTCCTAAGTGGAGGAAAAACCTACCAACGAACCAAAGGAAAACTTTGTTAAATAAATGTTAGGAGACGTTAAAATCACCGCAAATTTAATGTTCCCGCATTGCCTTGCACGATGACAAACTAAACAAACGCAACAAACATTTTCATTAAATTAAAATTATAAAATCGTCGCGGTAATAAAATATAAAACAAACGAACGAACAAAACGACGATTGCTACTTTTTTTTTTCTTTTTTTTTTGTAATTATAAATTAAAACCGGAAACGGGGGAATGGAGGAAGGAGGGGAAAAGAAAAAAAGAATCGAAAGATGTTTGAATGTCGTCTCATTACTACGTAATTTTTTTTTTTTTTTTTTAGAAAATTTTTTTGATTAGGTTTTTTTAAATTGGATTCGTACGTCGAAAAAAAAAAAACTCAATTAAAAAAAAATTTCGTGGCAATAGATTGCAAGTCGTTACTCTAATTTTAAAAATTATTATCATTATTTTTAAAAATCGAATTTAATTTTCTCGTTAAACTTTTTTTTTTTTTTGTGAATTAAAATGGCGCGCACTTAAGTAGTACGTCACCAACAAAAAAACACTCAATCATAAAATGTGTGGTTAAGTGGTTCAAAAAAAGATTTTTTTTTTTTATAAAAAGTTTATTTATTTATATACATCAAGTGCATCATTTTCTTAAAAAAGAATTTATCATTATTATTATCATTTTTCTATTCCCACGATTATGACGTCGCATTAAAAAAAAAAAAAAGGAAAAGTAAAAGTAAATGAAATTTTTTATTTTTTGTTTTATTTTAATTTGAATACATTTTCAATAAAGTATTCAAATGTAAACGTAATCATTTTATATTATTATTTAACCATGATTTTTCCCTTTAAACCTTTTTTCGTTCGATTTCTTTACTCGATTTCCTTTTAAAGTCACCTTTTTAAAAACCTTTTTTCTAATCCGAGATTTTTGTGGGTTTTTTTTCGTTTGTTTGTTTGGTTGTACGACTTTAAATTACAAAAAAAATTTTAATTTTTAGGTAATATTGATTTATGGACGAAAGAAGCAAGCGGTTGTCAATGTAGTTTCGATTCTGGTAAATTAGGATGTGCTTGTTGTGCAAAAGGTGGATGTCCGTGTGGTAGAGCAGCACCTAAAAGATGCATACAATGCGGATTGGAAAATTATTGTTCAAACAGTGAGTATTTATCATTATTATCATCTCAACTCTTATCGTTTAATTTGAATTCCACGGAACAACAGCAGCAACAACAAAAAAAAAAATTATCATTACGTACGAAACGTCAAGGTAATAAATAATAATAAATAATAATAATAATAATAATAATAATATATTATACGTACGGTGAGCTTAATCAGAAACGAAAAAAAAAAAAAAAAGGTAATGTTAACGAGATTTTGAGGTCGTCGAAAGAAAGACAGTCGTCATGTCGTAGAAGAGGATTTTAAAAAAAAGGGATTACGCGCCTTTTTTTTTTTAAAAAAAGTAATTTTAATTTTTTTTTTTTAATATTAAATTTTCTCTTTTTTTTTGTTCGTTCACTCATATCCTTTTCGTCGAAAGTTAATCCTTTTCGTTAGAGTGATAACCTTTTTTTTTTTAATATTTCGTAAAAAAAAGAAAAACTTACGTACGTATCATGTGTGCGTACGTGTATAACTTTAATAATTATTATTATTAACTGATGATATTTAATAAATAAACATTTACGAATCGTTGTGAAAAATAGAAAAGAATAATAATAATAATAATAAAATGAAAAATGATCTGTCACAACACGCACACAACATCATTGATTGATGAAGTTCTAAATGAGATCGTCAACCATCTTTTTCTCTTTTCATCATCAATAATTTTCCTTTTTTTGTTTTTGCTTTTGACCGTTACTGATAAGAAAAATTACAATTGTAGTGATAATAGTTTTCCTTTTTCTTTTTATAACAAATAATTAATTTAAATTACAAAAAAAAAAAAAATTATTATTATTATTATAAATAAATCGTAAATTATTTAAAAAGCAAGAAGGCGTTCGTTGTTGACATTTTTTTCTATCATTACTATTATTATTATTATTAAATAAAATGGCGGAGACGTAAAAAAAAAAAAAAAAAAATTATATCACGTCGTGCACTTTTTTTTCTTTTTTTGTTATTGTATACGTGTTATTAAAAAAAAATATCTTTTGTTTGTTTGTTTGTTTGTTTGTTTGTTTATCGTCAAAAATTAATTTCATCGTATAAAACAAACGTTAATATTATTATTATTACTTTTGTTTCATTGCGAAGAAGTTGAAAAAAATAAAATAAAATACATGAAAAGATAATTTTTAATATTATTATTTATATAAGGTTCGTAAATATTAAGAAAACTTCCACGAAAATGATAATAATAAAAGGACGACGCGTCGTTAATGTATTTAAAATTATTATTTATTTATTTATTTATAGTCGTCGTTATTATTATCATTATTATTATTATTTTCTTAAATTTGTTATTTTAGGCAACGGTAGAAATTTAATGTTGCGTTAAAAATATTTGCACTATCGTGCGAAACCCCATCTTCCCCCCGATTATTATTATCATCACGAAATTTTTTTTAAAATAAAAATTTAACTATTTACGTCTTTTCCTTAATACGGCCCTTATTTTTTTCACGGTTTCTATTATTTATTTATTTATTTAAAATTATTTAAACAAAAAAAAAGGAGGAATTATACGGTTAAACGCCCAAACGAAGGAATTAATTTTATTATTATTATTATTAAGTAATTTTTTTAAACAAATAAAAAGTTTTTGATTAGGGGAAGAAAAAAAAATTTAAATAAACGCGCCATATTGAAAAAAGAGGGAGGGAAAGGCGATAGGCGGGGTGGGGGTAAAAGCGTTAGAAAAAAATTGATTGAATTTGATTTTAAGAAAAATTTAAGAAATAATAATAATAATAATAAATTACGATAAATTTTTTTTTTCCGTTGGGAATTTGATTTTTTTTTCCTCCCCCTCAAAAAAAAAATCGGGAATGGGTGGGCGGGGAGTTGGGCGGTTAAAAGGGAGGAAGGAAGAAAGTTGGGAGGAGCAAAAAAAAAGAAAAAAGTGAAAATTTTCACGCACCGTTTATTTAATTCAGTACAATTATTTTTTTTTTTTGGAAAAGTTTTACGTAAACCGTGTCAAAGGTCAACTCTCGCTATATATCATAAATTTAAAATTTCTTTAAAATTAAATTTTCTTAAAATTAAACAAAAAAAAAATCATGTATAATTAAATTCTCACTTCGCTCACTTAAAAAAAAGATTTAAAAAAATTATTTACGCACGCGCACTTGCATACCATACTCAATGCGTAATGACGATTGTAAAAATATAATAATGATGATAATAAAAAAGAGGGAAAAAGTTTTTTTTTTTTTTTTTTATTATTATTATTAAAAACGATGATGGGAAATGATTAAAGTATTAAAAAAAAATTTAAAAATTTTTTTTTCAAATATAAATAAACGGAAACGAACGTTATCACCTACAATTATTATTATTATTATCGCGTATTATTATTATTATTATTATTACGAATTAAATTCGAATTACCGTGGAAAAGGGGGGAATTTTATTTTATTTTTTTATTAAAAAATTTCGTCGCTCGCGTATTTAATATAAATGATAACAATAGGGAAAAATATTTTATTTACCGACGGAAACTGTTACGTTACCGGAAGTGGCAAACAAACAAACAAACAAACAAGCAAACGATTCTTAAAGTTTGAGTGTGAATGTGAAATTTTCCAAGAGTCGGAAAACAATGTGTCATCTCGTTTAATTTTTTTTTTTTGTATGAAAAACGCGCGTGCGCGTACGTTAAAAACGCGGTTAAATTTTTTAAAATTTTTTGGAAAAACTCGCGCGTTTATGTTTCCGTTTCCCGCGTAATTTTTTATTTAAAAAAAAAGAAAAGAACAGGATAAGGAAAAAAAAGTGTTGAAATGGAAAAAAAAAGAAAATTTTTTTTTTTCGACGCGTTTTAACAACGTTTAAAATAATAATGATAATAATAATGATAAAGGAAATCAACGTTATGAACGAACGTTTTGTTTCCGTTTGTTCCTCTGTTTTTGTTTTCCCACGTTAATAATAATAATAATAATATTTTAGTATTAACGTTGTCATTACCTATTAATTAATTTTCTTTTTTTTTTTTGTTTTACAGTTTGCAACATGACTTTAGATTCGCGTGAATTATTATCGAGATCCGGTAAAAGTTTTGGACAATTAAAATCACCATCTATAAAAGGTCCAACAATTTGCTATTATTCATTCGTACCTTCGCAAAAGCAAAGAATCGAATTACAATTTTACAGATTAGTTAATTTAGGAACGTTCAACGGAACCGAGTAAGTAAAAATGATTTTTTTTTTTTCTAACGCCACTTCAACTATCAAAACCCGCAAACGTGTAATTAACTCGTGTCCATGACGATGATAATAACAATGATGATGATGATGATGATGATGATGATGATGATGATGATGATACGAAAGCAAATTGGATAATATTCGTCCAAGGTATACATATAAATATTTTGAAAACCGTCTATATATTTCGAGAGCGATTTTTTTTTTCTTTCGTATTTAATTTCGTAATAAATTTAATTTAATCGTTTTACGTCGCAATTATTTTACTAATAATAATAATGATAATGATAATAATGATAATAATATAGCGGATAAATTTAAAATTTTATATATTTAATTACTTACAATCGATGAATTTCGTTTGTGCCAAAAATTAAAAAAAAAAAAAAAAAAAGAAAAAACAAAATTCGATAATAAAAACATAGTCGGGGTAAAAAATTTTAGAAAATTTTATTATTATTATTACCATTATCATTATTATCATTATTATAATTATTAATCGAATCGAATGGAACGAATGAATTATTTTAAATAATAATAATAAAATTTATTTATTAATATTTTTTTTATTTTTAAATTTAATTTCGTTCGAGTATAAAAAAAAAAAAATGGCACGAAGTGTGCGTGTGCACTTATTAAAATAAACCTGAAACGAATACATAAATAAATAAATAAAAAGTTAATAATTTATTAATAAATAATACGTTGTTTAAAAACTTGAAAAAAAATAAAAAATAATAATAATAATAAAATCACATTTTTTTTTTTTTTTGGCAAATGCCCCCCGATTATTCGCCAAAAACTTTAAAGGCTAAATTTTTTTTCTTCCCCCACCCCTTTCCCCCCCTTTTTTTTAAATGGCTTAAACGCCAAAAAAAAGCTTAGATAAAGATTTTGTAAAGAGAAAGAAAAAGAGAGAGAGAAATGTTGTTATTAATAATGATAATAATTCCACACGGATAATATTTAAAAAAAAAAAAAAAAAAAAATTTAAGTCTACGTTTAAGATGTAAATAAAATTTAAACGCGTTTTAAAAATCGTCTGCTAAGATGATGATAATTGAAGGAAAAGTCGTTCGTCACTCCTGATTGCAGGGTGTCTCAAAAAGTATACGACGAACGATGGAGATGTTATAAATCAGGAAACGGAAATAATTGTTAAAGACTGATACAAACGCGGTTACGACAAAGTGTTCAAGGGCGTGGTTGCGTATGATCGGCAAATAGTACGCACTCACAAGATTCTATAAACAAACAACAAACAACATAAAACATTAAAAAAAAAAAATTAAACAATCCGACGTAGTAAAAAAAAAAATGACGGAAGTGTAGAAAATTAAAGTTTTAAATCACTAGGAAGTAGGGTTTGAATACAAACGGAAATGGTTTGTGGCACATCGACAAAACAATGACACAATTATTGACACAAACATTTGACAAAAAAATTTTATAGAATTTTTCCTCAAGTGAAAACTTTATGAGATAAACATGAAGAAAATCGTCGTAATAATAATAATGATAAGTAATAATTTTTTTTTATCAATGACGAGTACACGTACACGCACATAATAAACTAAAAGACAGAAAAAAAATTAAATAATAAAATAAGTAATAAATAAAATTTTTAAATTAAGTAAGTAATTCATTAACTAAAAAAAAAAAAAAAAGTTTAAAGAAGAAGAAGAAACAGAAAAATACAAAAGAAAGTTTTTATAAAAATAAAATTTATTATTATTATTATTATTATTATTATTATTATTATTATTATTATTTTGTAACTGCTGGAAAAAGAAATTTTTTTTTTTTTTAAAAGTTTTTTTTTTTTTTTTTTGTTATAAGAACGTTAAAAAATTCAAGAAAATATTTCATCATACAAAAAAATTTTTTTTTTTTTTTTATTTTGACTATTTTTAAGTTTCCAATTCACGTTTTTTTTCTTTTTTTTCCTTCCTTTTTTTCCTTCCTTTTTTCCTTCCTTTTTTCCTTTTTTATATGTATTTTTTCCATTGCGAAAGTTTTTTTTTTTCCTTATTCGACCCTTTTCCATAACAAATATTTTTCCATCAAATTTTTAAATTTATATACTCCATATATCTCAGCCTAAATTTTTTTTTCTCTCCTCTTTGACTTTGATTAAAAATGAAAACAACAACAACGTCATTTTTTACTTTTAAAAAAAACGGGCACGCAAACGAACAAACAAACAAACAAACAAACAAAAACAAAAATGTTTCCTTTTTGTTTTTTTTTCTTTTACGTTACTACTACTATTATTACATTCCAGCAGACGGCGAATTTTTTTTTTTTTTCTTTTGTGTTCTCACCTACCTGGAATCAATTTTTCTCCAGGAATTTATTATTATTATTATTACAAAGTAGATCGTAATGAATGTAAATATTACGGTTGGTTAATTGCTATATTTGAATTTTTTTTTTTTTTTATAAAAAAAAAATTAAAAAAATAAAAAAACTTCTGGAAAGAGTAAAAGAAGATTTAGAGAAAAGGGGAGAGAGGAAAGGAAGGAGGGAGGAGAGGAGAGGACAATTTAAAAAAATGAATCTTTTTTTATACCTAAAAATTCTGGAGAGAGAAAAAAAAAGAAAAGAAAATTAAGTCAAGGGTTAAAAATTGTATAATTAATTTCATTAACTCGAGAAAAAAAAAAAAAAAAATTTTTTTGTGTTAATGGAGGAAGAAAGAAAAAAAATAAGAACGAGTAGTGGATTATTATTATTATTATTAATATTATTATTATTAAAAAAATGATGTTTGCACGGTTTTGTGATGTATACTTTACGTATATCAGTCTTTTGACCTTTAACAAAATTGACATTTTCTACCGTTGACCTTTTACCTCGTCGTTCGGTCAAGTGAATTTTTTTTTTCTTTTTCCTCATCCGCTAAAGTTCATCACAATTTTTTTTGTTTTCATACCTTCGGCTCTTTAACGTTCAAATTATTATACAAAAGGTATTCGAATGAAGTATTCGTCGTTATCGTCACCACCCCCACACCCTCCTCCACTCACCCACACAAGCGTGATAACGAAAAAAAAAAAAGAAAAAAAGGCGTGACGTAAATAAAATGAAAAAAATGAAAAAAAAAATTTTTTTTTGTTGGAAACTTTTTAATTCTGTAAAAGTGTTTTAATAAATTCATTTTTTTTTTCCAGCATAAACCTAAAGTTAGTTAGATAATAACATTATCAATGTTTTTTTCTTATGAATAATTTTTTTTTCTCCAGTTAAAAAAAAAAAAAGTAATTCAAATTCGCCAACCAATAAATTCATTTTTTTTTTTTTTTTTTTTTTTTTTTTATAATAAATTAAATTGAGCAAATAAAAAAAAATTAAAAAAAAAAAAAAAAAAGGAAAAAAGTTTGCAAAACTTAATAAACCGTATTTAAAAAGTGAATTTATAAAAAAAATAAAATAAAAACTGGAATTTATGGAATTGGAAAAAAAAATCTGGAATTTTTTATTTTTTTCGCGGCGCGCCCGCGTTTCTTTCGTAATTATCGATCGAAACGTTTAACACGTGTACTGATAACGTCGTACTGTGATTGAATAAAAAAAAAAAAGTTAAAATGTTTCCCTCTCTCTTTCTCTTTCTCTCTCCCTCCTCTACTTTTCTTTCTCGATTTCAAATGTCAAAGGAAACTTCTTCTTCTTCTTTTTTTTTCCTTTTTAAATTAGTTAACGAAAAAGACTTGGTCGAAACCAAAAGTTTAAAGTTCAAAAGGAAGATTTTCTAACGGTATTTCAAATTATTGAACCGCCGGACCGGCGGTTCGGACCGAACCGCCGAACCCGACCCGTTCAAAAACTTTTTTTTTTTTTTAAATTTTGTTAATTTCGTTTGATAAATGATTTGACGACGACGACGACGACTTCTCCAGTCGTTTCAAAAACGACATGGGGTAATCAAAAATAAAAAATAAATAAATATCGGAAATTTTAAAACGTGGAATATTCTAGACTTTATCCTTTATTTTTCTTTCGATTTGTAAAAAAATTTACAACGTGTAAAAGGAAAAAAGGAAAAGTTTTAAAATGGCAGACTAATTTTTAGTTTTATATATATATATATTTAGGTGGCGTTTTTCTTTTTTTTTGTATCTCTCATATCATATTTCATATAAGGTTTTCCCAACTTTTTTTTTTTGTTTATGTTTTAATTTCTTTTGTATTATTGGCCTGCGTACGAACAAGCAAACAAACAAACAAACAAACACAAAGAAAAAACTAATAAAGCAAACGTGATTTGAATAAAAAAATGGTTATTATTATTATTATTATTATTTTTCATCTTTTTTTTTACCAATTTACGGCGAGTTTTATTATTAAAAAAAAAAAAAAACGTGGAATTAGAATATATATATCCTCGTGCTTATAAAACAAATATAAATTTTTTTACATTTTTTTTTAGGTTGCTAAAATCTCGTTTTCTCTCACACGCACACGCACACATGAGTGACCAATTTATTAAGACGTTTATTAATAATAATAATAATTATTATTATTATAATAAAGCAGAAGAAAAAATAATTAAAAAATTTTGTTGTTGTTGTTATTACGTTTTAAAAATTTTTAAAGTGTGTTTAATTTTTTTTTATTACGTCACGAAGAAAATCGAAATCGAAAGTTTTTCAAACAACAACAACAGCAATTTCAACAACGTGAGAGTAACGTTTATAATTAATATTATTATTATTATAATTATTATTATTATTACCATCATTATAATCATCATCGTTTCCGTTTTCATTTTTTTTGTAAACCTCGTAAAAATTATAAAAAAGTATTTCCGGTTTATTTAACCGCCGTAAAAAAAATTTTTTTCGGTTTTTTTTTTTTTTTTTTTTTTCGAATGGGAAGAATCGGGGAGGGATGAGGAAAAAGGGAGCGGGGGAGGGTGCGAGAGAGGAAGTCAAAAGAAAAACTAAAACTTTTTTTTTTTTAATTCGATTAATTTTCAATTGAACTCCGCCATGATGATAATTTTCATTTCAATTTTTTTTTTTTTTTTTTTATGAAAATGTTTATTCAACCGTTTTTGTTTTTTTTTTTTTTTTTTTTAAAACAAAGTAGTCGGAAGTCGTTGGTGCGAAAATTATTTAATGACGATGATAATGATAATTTTTAATAACGATGATAATGATGATGATGATGATAATTTTCTTAATGATGTTAATGTTTCGCACCGTGTAACGAGCGCGGAAAATTCAACGTGGAAATTTTTTTTTTTTGTTTTTTTTTTTTCTCTTTCGTTAATGTTAATAATATCATCATCATCATCATCATCATCATCATCATCATTATTATTATTATTATTATTATTATTATTATTATTATTATTATTATTATTTTCGTCGGAAACTTTTAAAATTTGGGGTTCGATTAAAATTAGATTCGATTCAACGATTATTTAAAACCTATTAAAATATTTATTCTTAACTTTTGTTGAAAACCCATTATTATTATCATTATTATTATTATTCTTTGAGAATCTCTTGTCTTTTAAAAACACACTCGCACAATTTAGTTTTACGATGAAAATTAAATATTAAAATATTTCTTAATAATAATAATAATAATAATAATAATAAACAAATCCAGTTGGAGATCATTAAAACTAAAAAAAAAAGAAAAATAAAATAAATTTTTTTTTTTTCGTCTTCGTATTTTTCCAGCGGGTGTTTTTTTATTTATTATTATTATCATCATCATTATTATTAATAGTAATATATTTTTTAAAACATAAATAAGGGTTGCGAGCACAAGGGGTAAAAATAATTTTTTAAGGTTGCCAAAACACGAAGGGGTTTACGTTGTTGTTGTAATTTTTTTTTTATAAACATACTTTTTAATAAGAATAAGATTTGACAAACGACAAACGACAATGACAACAACAGGAGGAATCTTTTATTTCGACTGGAATAATTCCAACTGTATTATTATTATTATTATCATTACACGGGGAAAAAAATAGGAAAAAAAAAGGAAAAAAGAGGGAAAAAGAGGAAAAAAAAGTTATAACATAAATTTTTTCGTTTGTTGTTGCGTTGTTCCAGTTGTCAGGGTGGATATTTACAATTGGTCGATGGTTCCATAAATTCCATAACAAACAAATCGGAAATAAAAATATGCGGAAACAATGATAGATACGATCCTCCAGTATTAATATTTGCCGATAACGGTCCAGCAACGTTATTTTTTTAGTGAGTAAAAAAAAAAAAAAAAAATTTAATTAATTCAATTAATTGTTTTTTTTTTCCCCCATTCGAAACGTTTTCTCTCTCTCTCTCTCTCTCTCTCTCTCTCTTTTTCTCCCTTTCTCCCTTTCTCTCTCTCCCTATTTCGAAAAGTAAATAAAAACAATTAATGACGTCAGAGATTTTAAATGTCCACGTGGTTGACATTTTAAATAAAAAATTTTTTTAAATGAATTTTTTTAACGAACACAAAAAAAAAAGGAAAAAGTGTTATTGAGATTTTCGTTTTCGTTTTCGATTTCGATTTTTTTCGAGTTATCGATTATTTAAGTTTTTTTTTTTTTTAACACTCAATCCGTTATAATTTTATTTATTTACATTAAAAAAAAAAAAAATAGTTTTTGTCATTTATTGTTGTTAGGAGGATATTAAATGGCGTCGGTGGTGAAAATTTGCGGTCAAATGAAAATTGTTTGTTGTTGTTAAGCTGCCGCCGCCGCCGCCATTGCCGCCGCCATCAATTGTTATCGATAAAGATTCGTTTTCGTTAAAATCTTTTACGATAAAATCATTTCCCTTTTTTTTCCTATGATTTTGGGAGAAAAACGAGGATTTAAAGTTTAAAAAAAAAAAAATTGATTGTTTATTTGTTTGTTGTTTGTTTTTTTTTTATTAAATAAATTGTTTGTTCAGTCTTTCAGATGACACAACAACATCTCAATTTATAGCTTATTTTAGTTTTACATCAATAACAAACGAAGAACAGGGTAATTTATATAAAGGTGGAAAAAAAATAGCCAAAACAGGTAAGATGATAATGATGATGATTAAAAATGATGACGGTAAAAGAAAAATTTTTTTGTTTGTTTGTTTGTTCGAATGCGTTTCACGTAAAAGTAAAAAATTTTTTTTCTTTTTTTTTTTAATGCGGTTTTTTTTAGATTGCGACTGGCTTTATCAAGATTTTGAATGCAGGGCTCCAGAATCGTGCGTATTAACTTCTCCGGGATATCCTGGACTTTACGTACCTAACAGATTGTGTAAATATCACATTGCCATCAGTTCCATGCAAACAAAAGTTAAAATATCATTTGCATCTGTTTTGTTACCAGAAAAGTGAGCGAACAAAAAAAAAAAAATTTTTTTTATGTAAACTTTTTTTTTTATTTTCACTTTTGAATTTTTTTCTTTTTTGTTTTGTTTTCCTTTTTTTGTATTTTATTTTTATTCAAAACTTTTTCTCTCTTTTTTCTTTTTTCCAGAGATTATATTACTTTTAAACTTTTTTCTCTCTTTTAATTTAAATATTTTTTATTTTATTTCTTAACTTAAAAGTCGATAAATATTTACAAAAAAAACAAACAAATTAAAGATTTAATGATGATAATGATGATCATACCACGTGTTATTTATTAAGGCGATTTTTTTAATTATTGATTGATACTCGTACGTATGTAATAATAATCAATATTTTAACTTATCGATTAGGTAAAGAAAAAAATTGTAAAAAGATTTTTGCGTAATTGTTATCGACACACACACACACACATGCAGACGTTTCGTTTTTTATTTTTTTAATTTGTCGCCAATTATTTAAATTAAATTTTTTTTTAACGAACGAACGAACGCCTCGGAAATGAATTAAATTACACATCGTTAACAACACGAACGTGTACGTTTTATTTAGAAAAATGTATAAAAATAAGGCTACGTAAAAAAAAAAATAGATGTGACATCTATTTGTGGCAGTTTATTTAAAATAAATAAATAAATAACTGCTTTTTCCACATTTGAAAAGTTCAAGCGTTCTCTATCAGATGGTGCGCAAATAGTTTTTTTTTTTTTTTTTTAATTTTCCATTGCATGTTTTTTTTTTTTTTTTATCAATCTTTATGATAACAACAAATAGTTTTAAATAATATGATTATTTCGTTCGGCACTTAAACGTGTAAAAAAAAAAAAAATTTTTTTTTCATTTTGTTCCAGGCAGTGCAAAACAGATTTTATAGCCATACATCAAGGAACGACAGTGCTCAGTCCTGTTGTTGGCACAATTTGCGGAACGGATAAAAAAGAATTTATTTTTTACGGTCCTAATTTATTATTAGAATTTAGGTAATAAGTTACAATTTATAATTTTTAATTATTATTATTATTAACAGTTGTATATCGGTGCCTCATTTTTTTCAGGTCTGGGCCTTCTTTTCCTCCCTACAATTACAACGGATTTCAAGCTTCGTTGGAATTTTTCGAACAAATGAATTTTATTAATAAAAATTCATCTCACAATATTTTTATACAAACAACAGAATCTAATTTTCTCAGTAAATAATTTACTTTTCTTTCTCTCTCTCTTTGTTTTCCCCTCTCTCTCACACCCTCTTGTCATGAGATTTTTATTTTTTTTGTTTCAGTGGATAGTACAAGTTCACCAAAAACGACATCCGTCAAAAATGGCTGTGATATATCATTTTCGGGTAACGTATCACGTTCTGGTACTTTCGATACGAGAACGTTGAAATGGAGATCGACGTGTTTATTTACGTTTACCGGAAGAGCAACAGATGTTGTACACATTTCTTTATTTAATTATTATTTAAGGTGATTAGTGATAGATCGGATTTCGTAAAGATGGCGACGACGAAGAGAAAATTAAAATTTTTTTTTTTCAGAGCGTCATCGTGTCAAAACGCCATTGAAATTTACGACGGGCTGTATCGTAACGGTCTCAAACCGGTCAAAAAAATATGTAGTCCCGTGTCAAAAAGAGCACGGGATTCATTAACGGGTCGTTTTATAGAACAGCAAAGTTTCGTGTCAACAGACAACACTTTTAGCATAAGATTAAAAAGATCTTTACAATCGCATAAAAAAGATCAAATGGAATTTGTCGACGGAGCTTTTTTATTTCACGACGGTATACATAAATAAAATCACCTCCCATTTCTTTCTCTGTAAACCTTACGAATTTTTTTTCTCCATGCAGAACAAGTCGATGGAACTCTACGACCTTTGACACTGTGTGACGTCGATTATTACGGTTTGAGCAGTTCGACAAGCGGTCAAGTTAACAATCCGGGAAGTCAAGATTTATATTTTAACATTGAACGTCCGTTACGTTGCGTGGATCGTTTCGTACCAGCAGCCAATCAAAGCATAACACTCACCGTTCGTATTTACCTTTTACTTATTTATTTTCCCTCGGTTATGACGTCATTAATTATCATTATTAATTTTAGATCAGCAGATATAAAATATCGCATTTGGATCCGTATTGTCACACTCAATGCGGTGACGGCGGATGTTTTTGCGTTGTTTTAAATTCCAGAGATTTGTCGCAAGTCGATCATTTAATGCTCCAGACTGATAGTGGACAAATATTATCATGCCTTTGTGGAGAATTTCAAGTGAGAGTTCATTGAACCCTTTTCAATCCGTTCGTAATTTTTGTTTTTTTATCATTCTGTAAATTTTTGTTATTAGGAAGACTGGCTTCCGGTCACGTTAAAAAGTTGGTCGGCTTTAAATTTAATTTATTACGTGGCTCATTTCACGTGGGAAGAAAAAGGTTTTAATTTTACAACAAATTATTCTTTTAACACGGACGGCATATGCGGTCATTACACATTCACGGCGCCCGACGGAGAAATCGAATCAATACGAATAATACCGGACGGACAGCTCAATTATTATTATCATCAAAAATGCACGTGGTTGTTGGATACGAAAATCGAAAGACAACTCACGATAGAATTATACACTCCGCAAAATAGTGAGGAGCAAAACCAATAGAAAAATTTAATTTTTTCCGACGACAAACCGGAAATTGTATTATAATTATTATTTACAGGGCATTGCGGAGCGTGGAATTTAACTTTACACGATTACGATGAAAGTTCGTCCGATAGAACAGGTACATATATCGACATATTTTGTCCTAGGCAAAGACACAAAGTGTATAAGTTGCCGTGGAAAATGAATTTGGTTGTTGTTAGACTTCAAGCAACAACGCACACGCCACCGGAATTTACAATTAAATGGCGTTCTCAGGTTTTCAGGTCTAATAATAGAATATCGGATCCCTTACCCTCACCCTCATGGGCAATAAGGGATCAAACAACATTTCTTTTGTTTTTAATTATTATTTGCTTGAAAAATACACTTTGTATTTCACAATTGAACTTGATTATTATTAATTAGGTTTCTTTTTTTTTCTTTTTTATTTATTTCTTTTTTTAAATAAATAAATTGTTATGTAATTATAAAAATATCTGTTTCGTTTTTAATAAATAGCTTATGTATATTGTTGATTTATTAAATGTTATGAATGAATTTAAAAGAAAAAATTATTATGATTACCTTTTTTATTAGGGATTTGTTTTTGGTGTTAATTGAGGGGGTAAATTTTTTTTTTATGTGAAATATGTTTGAGTTTTTTTTTGATGCGTTTTGGTTTTTGGAAAAAATAATTATTTTATTTGTTTTTTTTAGGGATGTGTGTGGGGAGGAGGGATGCGGGTCTGTGTTTGTTTCGTTTGTTTTTAAAAACAAATAATATTTATTATTTAAAATTTATATTTATAGACAAAATTTTTTTTTTCTTCGTTTTGCCATCGAAATAAAATGTTTAATATTTTTGTTTATAAAAAAGTGATGAAAAACCAAATAATTAAAAAAAAAAAAAAAATTATCGAGTTACTTTTTTATATAAAACTAAAAATTAAAATGATAATAATAATAATAAAAACTGTGAAAAAAAAAATTTAAATTTTTACATAAAAATTAATTTAAAATTAAAAAAAATAAAAAAATTTTTTTATTTTTTTTAATTAAAAAGGAAAAAAACGCTACAGAGTCGTCATCTATCGGAATTTTCTGTAAACAAAATAAATTTTAACGATCGATGATGACGTCGACGTCGACGACGTCATCATTCATTTTATTTCACTGCTTTTTTTTTTTTAAACGAAAAAAAAATTTGAATTTTTTAAAATATGTTAAACATTATTACGTAAATAAAAATAATGACGTTCAACGAATTCAAAACAAATAATGATGATAATAATAATAATAATAATAATAACAAAAATTTTTTTTTATTTAAAGGTTTTTGAAGGCCTGCGTTGACATTTTTTGGGGATTAAATTCGCGTATATGGCGGAAAACCCGCGGATGAAAGATTCTAGAAGATGTATTGTTTACCGCACGTCAAAATTCTGTAATGTATAATTAATTTTAAAGTTGAGGTGGTGGTGGTGGTGGCAGCAGCATCAATAAATAATTAATTTTAAAAATTTATCCGATCAATTTATTACACCATTAAATAAGATACAAAAAAAAAAAAGAAAAAAAAAAGTGTTAAAAATTATTTTTACGTTCATTATCATTGTGTCCTTTTTCAATAAATGTTATTTAAAGCATGGATAAGGACACAAATATTCTGGGGGGCAAGATTTTATAACGGTTTTAAAAGGATGTTCGATTCCTTTAGCTGGTAATTCTTTAATAACATTTTTTATCCTTTCGATTTCTTCATCTTTTTCCATTTTTAAACGTCTCACAAATTCTTCTTCTTCTTCTTTTTTTCTTATCTGTCGTTTAAAATGAAAACGAATGAGAATAACAATAATGATGATGATGATGATGATGATGATAAAAGGTCAAAAAACTTACTCTGTTAGCTTCGTCTTCTTGTATTTGTTTTAAAAGTTGACACCTGTAAGCTTCTCTCTGTTCAGCACATCTTCTATCGTAATCTTCTCTTATTTTTCTTTGTTGTTCTATTGCTAAAATTAACAATTCTTGTTCGTTTCTTCTAACTTGTTCTTCTCTTAATTCTCTTTCTCTTTTTTCTTTCATCTGTACGCATCTTTCTTTCAATACTCTCTGATGTGTAAAAAAAAAAAAATAAAATTTTAATTTTTTTTTTGGTGCGCAGGTACCGAAAAGTGAGAGAGAAAAAAAGAGGAGGAAAAAAAGTTTTCTCTTGTTTTTTTTTTCTTGAGAGGGGAGGGAGAGGGTGGTGATGGGGATATAAAAAAACTTTTTTTTTTGTTTTTATTATTAAATGAAAATTTACCGAAAACATTTCTTCGCGAGCCTTTTTTACTTTTCTCCTTTCTTCGTCTTTTTCTTGTCGTTTTTTTTCATTAAATTCTTCAAGCAAATCGTTTAACTTTTTCTCTTCAATTTCCTTTTGCCTTTTTATTTCTCTTATACCTTCCAAATACATATCCATTTCTCTTTTTATCCTTGCCTGAAAAAAAAAAAAATAATAATAATAATCATTTCTAGTTTTTTTTTCCCCCACTCCGTTAAGAAAAAAAGAAGAAAAGTCGTTGCGGAAAAAAAAAAACAAAAATTTAAAAACACAAACAAGTGTGACGTAAAGAGAGTGAGAGAAAAAAGGGAGGAAGAGGTAGAAAGGTTGGGAGGTAAGGAGGGGAAACAAAAAGAGTTAAAAAGAAAGAAAGAAAGAAAAGAAAAAAAAAAAAATTTACTTTGTTCGAAAAACCTTTCATCTTTTCCTTTTCTTCTTCTATTTTCATTAATTTGAAAAAAGTTTTCTCTATTTCTTCCTCTTCTCTTTTCCTCCTTTCTTTTATTTCTTTTTCTCTTGCTAGACTTCCGCTTACGTCGTTTTTCAATTCCCATCTTTTTTTTATTTTTTCCAATTTTTCTAAAATATTAAAAAAAAAAAAAAAATTTATTGATATGATTTATAAACATGGGTGAACGCACTTTTTAATTTCATAAAAATAATAATAGAGGGGAAAGTGGGGGGCGGATGTGGAAAATAAGAATAATATGACGTCGACCATTTTATTATTATTATTATTTATCATGTATACATATAAGAATTCAATCATTTTGATACCTTTTTGCTCTTCTTCTTTAAACAATCTAACCTCTTCTTCAATTTTTATCCTTTCGATTTCTTTCATTTTTTCTTCTTCTTCTTTTTTCTTTTGCTTTATAACAATTTGTTCTTGAAATACTTTTTGCGCTTCTTTTTGTTTGTAATAAATTGATTTCGCTTCTTCTTCTTCCACTTCTCTCTATTTTATCAGACAAGAAAAAAAATAAAAAAAATTTTTTCCCTCACACACACACGTCGTTCGTTAAACATCGACCAATGATTTTCATCATCATCATCATTATTATTATTATTATCTTACCATGGATTGTAAATTTTTTATCATGAGATCGTGATACATTTTATCTTCTTCTCTTTTCACTTCCATTTGCGCATATTTTTCTTTTATTTGCCACAATTGATCCATTTTGACTTCTTTAACTAATTTCTTTGTCAAAACCGTTCTCGCATCATCGCATTCGCTTCTACGTTTCCCCCCACCCAAAAAAAAAAAAAAAATTTTGTAATCATCGTGATTGTTAGTTATGATGATGATAATAATAGTGATTGTTGATAGACTTACATGGCACGTTCCAATAATTTTTCTTCTACGAATTTTTTTCTTTCGTTTTCGTATTTCGTTTGTAATTCGAACGCTTTCCTCCTTAATTCTTCTTCTCTTTTCGCACCGGCTTGTTGACATTTTATGATGTATTCCGTCGTGTACGCAACTTCTTCAGCCAATAAAAGTTCTCTCAGCCTAAAATTACCTAATATTAAAGTTAAGAACGATACATAAATGTAATCGATATGGTATTTTAACGGTTTTTTTTTCTATGTTTAGATTATCGATAATATTACCTGGTACGTTTTTGTCCGAGTAAATGATCGGTACTTTGACAAGCGCATTTGACTTTTTCGTTTATGGCACCGAACAAAGCAAGTCTCGTTCCTTTATCTTTGAATTTTTCTCGCAATTTCGCTAAATTTTCTTTTTTTTTTTTTTCCGGATCAACTTTTTCCACGATAAAATATTCATTCGCGTTTTTTTTTTGCTGATGCACCGTTGGATACTTTTTCTGCTTTGCATCTTTCTTTTTTTCATCGTCTTCTTCTGTCTGTTTCGAAGGTTCTACCAAATCGTCAAATTTCGACTAAAAATAATTTTTATATATAAAAAAAAAATTGTAATGTTTCCCTTTCCTCCCTTTCTCTTTCTCTCTCCCCACCTCTTTCTCTATAAAAAAAAAAAATGATTTCGTGAAAAACTTACATCCATATATATATCGATCAAATTGCGGTAGAAATAATTGGTGGGGCTTATGACGTCATTCCCTTTTTTTTTGTTAAATTTAACATTTGTTTATTTTCGTTTTTTCGTTATTAAAGTTTGTAAATTTTTTTTTTTTATTTTTTTGGGGAGCAAAAAATGATATCGAATTATTTTTTTAATAGTTATTAAAAGTTATTATTATTAATTAATTAATTAATTAATTACCGATTGTGTTAGAAAACAAACAGGTAACGAATATAATAAAAATTATATGTATTTTATTAGTGTTTGTTGTTGTTATTAAATTAGTACTAATAATAATCTATAAATAATAATAATATAATTTTCATAACTTTTTTTTCATAACTTTTTTGCATAAATTTATATTAAAAAAAATAAGTGAAAAAAGAAATTAATTATGAGTGACGGGTTAATTATAAATTTTATCCATTAAAAAAATTTTTTTTTCATTTTCTCCAGGTTCTCCCCACATTATCTCACCGTTTTCTCCCTTAATTTCTCCAGCATGCGTGTGCGTGTGTGAAAATCACAATAAATTTTTTTTTTTTATTAAAAATATTTAAATATGACGAAAAAAAATTTTTTTTTTTTTCTTCGCTTTAAGTGTAAAAAAAAAGAGAGGAAAAAAACGAGGTGGGGGGCAACTGGAGAGAGGGAAAAAGAGACCTTTAAAATATCCGACATTCGATAATCGTTTAAACTAAATAATCGATAAAACATGACAAACTTACATGTCCCAACGGTGCTGTTGGCGTTCCCTTAAATGTTAAACATATTTTTGTGGGATCACTAGAATTATCTACGCAACATAAAATTTCATGTTGTTGTTGTTGTTGTTGAGGACATGATACCTTCGACATTTTTATAAATTTTTTTGCATTTTATACACATAAAAAAAAAGAAAAAAAACCTTAATAATAACAATAACAATAATAATAATAATAATAAACGATGATGGCGACGATGACTAAAACAATATTTGTTTGTTTATTTTTACAGAATTTTCTGAACTGTTACTACACGTTTCCATAGATACGTTGTTACGTTTTGGTTGTTGTTGTTGTTGTTGTCGTCGTCGTATATACAAATGGAATGCTGTGGGTTGATGAATTTAACGAAAATTGGTAAATAAAACGACGGAAACTTCATTTTTTATTTATTTATTCAAACGAAAAATAAAATAATAATAATAATAATAATATATTGATTATGGAAAGAAAAAAATTCGATGGATTGTTAATGATAATAATAGAAAAAGAAAGAAAATCATACATAAATGTTTTCAAATCCGGAAACAGTGAAAATAATAGCTTTGCTTATATTGGGTATGGCGAAATTGATAGCAGGGCTCACTCCGATGCATTTGGTAGAAGTTTTAAAAGGTGGTTACGGTGAAAGACAAGTGAAATGCATAACGTCGTTGTCCATGTGTTTCGGTGGTGGCGTCCTTTTGTCTTCTTGCATGCTTCACATGATACCAAAAGTTCGTGACGGTTTGATTATGATGGATTGGAAAAGTTCTTTTCCCATGGGAGAATTTATTGTCTGCTGCGGTTTTTTCGCAGTTTTTTTAATCGAAGAATTTGTTTTATCGATGACACGCGATACGAACATGAGATCGATCGAAGCCGAAATGAGAATAAATGGAAAAGTCACGCCGTTCGCGAGCACTTCCGGTAACTTGATGATGGAAGATATGGAAATATCGAAAAAAACTCATCATTTGTTGGTTTTGTTGGCATTGTCGCTTCATTCCGGTCTCGAAGGTTTGGCACTGGGATTGCAAACGAGTACTCTTCAAGCCGTTTGGTTACTTTTCACCGCCATATTGATACACGCAGTACTCATTTTGTTCAGCATGGGTTTACAATTGGTTTCCGACGGTTACACGGAATTACAAATTGTTTTATACATGGTGACGTCAGCGGTGAGTACACCTTTGGGCGGCGGAATCGGTTTGATTGCCGTGTGGAAAATGGAAAAAATTTACGGCGGTACCGTTTTAATATTGCAAGGTTTGGCTGCTGGAGCCATTTTGTTTGTGACTTTTTTCGAAGTTTTGGAAAAGGAAAAGAAAAAAGGCGGATTTTTGAGATTTTTATTTGTTTTTTTAGGATTTTTAGCCATGGCCGGATTACAAACTTTAGGTGAGTAACGTATTGCAACCGCGTCACCGTAAATTATTTAATAATCATCATTATCATTTCTTTTTTTTCCAGATACGCACATTCACGATCATGATGATATAAAGACTCAGGAAACGATATATAAAAAATTAAATTCAATAGAAAAAAAAACAACAAATCGTTAGAAAGAAATAAAAAAAAAAAATTTTTCGCAAAAACGAATCTCATCCCATTCTCCATCATTTTTATTTGATGATGATGATAATGATGAAAAAAAATTAATAAAATTTTATATATATGGGTTGTATAATAAAAAGTTTTTCGTGTAATTAGAATGCGGTTTAGAATATTTTATATTTGTGGTCCTAAGTAAACTTTTCTGCACGAGAGTGATGGATGTTAAGCAAATAAAAAATCCTCGCCACCGAATCCTGATAAAAAAAAAAATAAAATAAAATATTTCGACCTTTTAAATTTAATTTATAAAACTAACCCTCTCCGGATGGGTGTGTGCGTGTGCGTGCGCGTGCGCGTTTGTGTAAATATTAAATTTAGAAAAAATTTATGACCGGATATATTATCAACAAAAGTTTAATTATAAATCCCTACTTCCTCTTCCTCCCTCTATCACTCTCTTACTCTCTCTCCAGAATTTTTTTTTTTGCGTGGCATCGATTCGTTGTCGAATTTTGTCTTAAATCCGTTTCAGAGATTTAGAATCAATCGTTTCCGGTTTAAAAAGAAAATTTTTTCGTAACCGAAATTTTCACTCTAGTAAAATTATTATTTATCAAGGTCATGCTTGATTAATTAACACGTTTCGAAGGTAAAAACGTTTCGATAAAAAATGTCAAAAAATATAATCTCCAACGTCCGTTCCAGATTTCTGGAACAAAAAAAAAAAAATTTTAAGAAATAAATATTTTACTTTTTTTTTTTGTGCTACAACAACAACAACAACTTCCTGTCGTTTTTAGTAATATTTTCTTTGGGAAAAAAAATATAAATCGTGTCAACGACAGGATTAACAATATCTTCTCAAACCTAAACCTTTTTTTTTCTTTTTTGTCATCAAAAATTTTCCAGGAAAATATTAAAATAATTTAACTCCTACCGGAAACTTTAAATACAGAGCTAACACACACGCACATCATCGGGTTAAACATAAAGAAAATAATAATAATAATAATAATAAAAGCCGGAAAAAAAGAAAAAAATTTTTTTTTTTCTTTCCAGATGTTGTTGCGTGGGTGGCGGCGGTGGTGGTGGTGGTGGGGGGAATGAGGAGGCAAAAGAAGAAGAAAGAGAGAGTAAATGAAATTTATTATTATTTTATTGTAATTAAAAAAAAATTTTTTTTTTTTGTACTCTCAAAACAATTTTTGGCAGAAACAAGAAAGGCAAAAAAAAGGGAAAATAGGGAAAAAAGGTTTTTCCTTTTTTCCTTTTTTTTCCCAAACTAAAATTTGGAAGTTTTTATTTTTTTATTTTTTTTTCCAATTTTACTTTTTGCATTCTTGTGAAAAAAAAAAAAAAAAAATTTTTTTTAAGAACTTAAAAGACAATTAAAATAATAAATCACATAAAACGAGGTGTTGAAAATTTAAACGTTTACAAGTAAAAGGCGTGAACCATTCATTTTATAAAAAAAAAAAAAAAAAAAAAAAAACATATTATATAGATTTTTTGTGGAATTTGAATTATTCTCCGTATTTTTTCTTTTATCTCACTCTCGCTCACTCTTTCTTCTACCCCTCCCCCTCTCTCTTTCTCTCTTTTTAATTTTTTTTCTTATTTTAAAGGGTATTCATCCGTCGTAAAAAAAAAAAAATAAAAAAATTTTCTTTTTATTTTCGTAAATATTTTATATATGCGTATATATTCGCGGAAAATTAATATATTTTTTTTCTCTCTCTACAGCTCTCTTTTATATTGTGTTAATAATAATAATAATTAATAATAATGATAATAATAATATTGGGACGGCTCACATTCTTCAAAAAATATTATAAATAGCACCAAAGAAATTCGAGCATTTATTTTGTATTAAGGAATCGGATGAAAACCTGGAATAAATGGTTAAAAATCCCGACGAATAAAAATTTTGCCCTCTTTAAAAGTGATAATAATAATAATAATAATAATAATAATAATAATAATAATTGTTTAAACGATGACCCCGTAATTTTTTAAAAAAATTATAACGATAAATAAAAAAAAATAAATTTTTTTTTTCTTCTATATCTTTCCCATGTTATTTGCCCTCCCCCTAAAAATTATTATCATTATTATTATTATTATTATGAGGGGATAAATTTTTTGAAATTTTATCCGTCAGAAGAGATTTTCTTTTCAAAACGAATTTGTGTGTGTAATTATTTAACAAAGTTAACAATTAAACTAAAGTAATAATTTTTTTTTTTTTTTAAGGGTGAAAAAAAAATGACTGCTGGAAATTTTGGATTGTTATCATCATCATCATTAACATCCGAAGAAGGTTAATGAACTCAAAATGAAAACGCATGCGTTGAAAAGTCGCACAGTTTACGTGAATATACACGAGGAGAGAGAAAGAGAGAGAGCGAGGTAAGTTGAAAATTTTTTTTTTTATTTTATTAATGTTAATATTATTATTATTATCATTATTACTTAATGTAAATAGATTTTAAAATTTATGTTTATGGTTGAATGATTCGATTATTAATAACGAGATTTTTCGAGAAATCGAAACTTTTTGACTTGCAAATTATCATCCACCTTTTCCGTAGCCTAAAATATTCGGGTTCCGTAAGAAAATTTTCTTTTTTTTTCCCCCCATAATAAAAAATTATTAATTGTTTTTCAATGACCGTAAATTTATCATCATCATCGTCATCATTATTATCATTATTATCATCACTGTTTCTAACCATTTAAATAAATTATTAAAAAAAAAAAGAGAAAAATTTTTTTTGGTTCGTCGGTCTCTTCTGATTATTATTATTATTTTTTTTTTTTGAAAAAAAAAAACGTACGAAAAAAATAATAATAATGATAAAAATACTAATACTAATAATAATGATAATAATACTAATACTAATAATAACGATAATAATAATAATAAAAGTTGGGAAAAAAAAGTCGTTAAAAAAAGAAAAAAGAAACGGGAAATCGTAAAACTAACCACAAAAAGCGAAAGAGTAATTGAAATTTAATTTTTTAACGGAAATCAATTGAATTTTCTATTATTATTATTATTATTACTATTATTATCATTATCATTATTATTATTATTTTCATAGAGTCGTAGAGAAAACTCGGTCGTAAAAAAATTTTTAATTAAAAAAATATACGCGGCGTGTAAAAAAAAAAAAAAAAACTAATCGTAACTGTAAAATTTTTTTCGGTTTTCCTTAGTTTGTAAATTATTATTATTATTATCATCACAACGATTACGTGGGCGTATTTTTTTTCAATTAGTTTATTTTGAATCCACACAATTTTATTGTTTATCCCCCCCAAAAAAAACAACGGCCTAGATTTAAGAAGGGATCCTCGTAAAAAATTTTTGTGATAACAACAACCGGATGAAGGATTTAAAATTTTGATAGAATTTTAAATTCTGTAAACTTTTCCATAATAAAAATATTTAGTTAAGTTAACCGAAAAAATTTTCTTCTTATCAGTTTCTTATCATTTTTTTTTAACGTAAAATAAGCCGCTTCGTATTTTTTTTTTTTTTAAAGGTATTAAAATTTTCTTTTTTTTTTTTTAAATATATTCTTTCGTCGGTTTTTTTTTTTACAATTTAACAAACAAAACAAACGGGTAGAAAAATTTATTTCGTTATAAATCATTCAATTTTTTTTTTTTATTCTTAGAATATTCTAGAAAATTTAATTTTTTTAAATTTAAATTAACAATTTAATTGGTTAAAAAATAAAAATTGGAAATTTGTGACAATTTAATTTAAAAAAAAAAAAAAATTAATCTCAACAAACGTCTGGAAAAATTGTAAATCTTAATTAATTTGAATAATAATAATAATAGGAAAAGACACGATAATAACAAATAAACAAACAAACAAACAAAATGCAAATTTTTCCAGTTTGTTGTTTAAAAAAAAAAAAAAAAAAAATTTTGCAGTGAAGGAAAATAAAAAAAAATCTTCCCACATTTCGATGTTCGATTACGTGATGAATATGCATTTACAAAAAAAAAAAAAATTTACGCGTTGATTTCCTCCTCCTCCTCCTCCCTCTTTCCACCTCCTTCCCAACCTCCTCGTATAAAAAAATTTAAATAATAGTAATAATAATAATTTTGTTGTTGTTGTTGTTATCCCTCCTGTATAATCCACTAACGAGCGGTACGCGTTGTTTAAACAATGAAGGCACAAATGAAGGCACCGGCGTCTGTGGTGGGGGGGAGGTGAAAAATATACATAATCGCAAAATTACCATAAACTCGCCCACGTGCAAAAAAAAAAAACATGGTGGGAAACAAACAAACAAACACGGTAATACATTGTTTACACAGTAGAAAAAAAAAAAAAAAAAGAATTAAAACGTAGCCGTGTTAAAAAAAATTTTTTTTTATCACCGTACGTGTTGATTTAAAAATAAAAAACTGGAAAATTAATTGCTTAATATTTTCTCTCTGTCTCTCTCTCTCTCTCTCTTTCTCTTTCTCTTTCTGTTTCCGCGTGTGTGTGTGTGTGTGAATTTTCTAGAATGCCCAACGGTCTTTTCTTCGGTTTTTTTTTCTAAAAATTTATTACCGGAATATATTTAACGGAAATTGTTTTTTTTTTTTTTTTAGTTATTGATATGAAAAATTAAAAAAAAAAGTTTATAGAAATGTTTGCACCTGAAATTTTCCAAAAAGGGGGAGGGTGAAAAAAAATTTTCCAGTTATTTTTGTCCGGGAGTTGCGTTTCCGGTTTTTCCGGAAATCAAAATGGTTATTTATAAAATCATTTTATGACTAATTATAAAAAAAGAAAAAAAATTGTGTCGAACTTTGTGAGAAAGGAGAGAGGGGAAGGGGTATTAAATTACAGAAAAAATTTGGGGAGCAGGAAAGGGGAAGGGGGAGGAAGGTGGGCGGAAAACGGAAATAATTTACGTGGGAGCAGCACTGGGAACCGTGCCACAGTATCTATAAAAATATTTCTAAGAAAATTTTTATAAATACCAAAGAGAAC